AAATCGAAAAGTTCAGAATGTCAAGCAGAAGATCGTTTCTTTCCAGCAATTACTATAATAAATAATTGTACTGGGTCATAATCGTCTAGATATATTGTAATTCATCGTTTCAGATAATCTTTTTCTCATTGTTACTTTGAATAAGATAGAATTGCAACTTCATCATCATCTCAAGATTTGAAATATTCATCTATATGGATAGTGGTATCTTTTTCACTTTTTATTCGTTACGTACAAAACATAGATATGTACTTGTTCAGCAATTGGTTATGTTTTTCACTAAAACTTTCAACTATCTTGCAATTTTCTGCTATCGAATGCAGAAAACTGTATTGATAATAGATGCACTAGAATAAATGGTGATCTCAGTATTATTCTAGTATCTCAACATTTTCTCTCTTTCCAAAACATACTTTTTTATCAAAAGAATTAAGCTTTTATTTCTCTACAGAACCATATATTTCCTTTAATCAAAACATTTTTCATAGATTTTTTTATAATCAATAAAAACAATTCGTCTAATTTATGCAACTATCTTATCAAACTTATTAATTGCTTAACTGACATCATTTTTTATTGTTATTTGTTCTTAGTTGTTATCTGGCAATTTTCACTGACATTCAATAGTTTAACTAATAATGTGTATTGATTATTCTTTTAAATCTTCACTTATTGCTCAACAACTTATTATTATTCGTTCATGACAATGAAGATATTTCTGTGACTTCAGAGACAAGTTTGATAAGACAGTTGCATGTATTATACGAATGGTTTGTATTGATTGACGAATGTTTTGTTTAAAAGAAATATATATTGTTTTGTAGACATTTCAAGGTTGAATCCTTTTGATAAGAAAAAAAAATGTATTTTGAAATATCGAGAAAATGTTGAAATACTAGGAAAATACTAAGACCACCATTTGTTCTGGCATACCCATTATAATTCTATTAGATATGAATCAACTTTTAAATTTCTTTATCGTTTATGTGATGCAACAGGTTGATCTAAACTTTTACTTGCTTTGACTTTCAATGAACAAGCAGAAGATAAGAGATATGCTTCAATCAGGAATCGAACCAGCGCACTTTAGCCTTGAGCTATCAAAGCACGACAAACATATGATTTCTTTCGGAATGATATTTTATCAGCCAAAGTTTTTATCGTCGACACAATATGTACGACGTATCTGGATATAGCGAAGCTATTTTAAACCAAGTGTAGATGATGATAACTTTTCTTCGCTTATTGAGGGTTAATATATTTAAAGAACTTTCTTTGACTTTTGACGATTAAATATCATTCAGAAAGAAATCATATGTTCGTCGTGCTTCAATAGCTCAATAGTAAAGTGCACTGGTTCAATTTCTAATTGAAGCATGTCTTTTATTTTCTGTTTGTTTATCGAAAGTCAAAAGAAGTAAAAATTTATTATTGTATTAAACATTACATATACTCTTTTTCTATCTCCTTCGAATCTTGAAAATTTAATTGAAATTATTCTATTTATTCATTTTAATTACACCGGAAAAAGATTTTTAAATAGAGATCATGTTCAACATTAATACTTCTATAATGTTATTTTTCTTTAAGGATTACACGGTTAGAATAGCAAGAAAAGTGACATGTTGACAAACCATAGATAATGAACGAAGAAGGACTTTCTTTATATTGTGATAGCCTATTTTTGGTATGTTCATAACAAATGTATCAATACATATAGTTCTTTTAGGCCTGTTTCCGTAACGAACACTCAGTTTCCATTACATGATATTTCATTAAAGAAAAGATACATCTTAAGTTTTTGAGAGCTTTCTGACTAAATGAAATTGTCAACTCAAGTAAAAATACTCTTACTTTTTGCTACTGTTTATGTGTAGCAAGATTATGAATGAAATCACCTACGGCATGGATTAGAAAAAAAAAAGATATTTGAATAAACTAAAATCAATTGTGAACTACAATATGTAAATATATAGTTTTCTTAATGTTCAAGTCAATTGATTCAGTCTCTTTGGATATGCGTTTTTAAAATAAAACTAATCTATTCAATACATACATGTGTGAAATCGACAATGTTCTTTTTTGTTTATCGTAAAAAGGTCTCTTTCTTCGCCTTTCGATTGACAATTATTTTAAATGATTCTGCATTATGTATCCTTAAAACATGCCACATCATGTAGGTTTTGCTCCATGTGTTTTTTTCCTCTTTTAGTTTCTTTATTATTCAATATCTATTTATAAAAATAGAAAATTATTTCATATAGTAACTATACTAGGGTTATTATTTTTATTGAAATGAATCGATATAAAAATACTGTCGAAAAAGAATAAATGCTGATGACGATGCAATATGTGTTTAGGAAAGGAGGAGTGTTTCGAAAAATTCAATCACAGGTTTTACCTATTTTAATGAGTTCGCTGAACAAGGCAAAATGAGAGAGAAAAAACAAAATGCCCTTAATCGATAGAAGTAGAACAAGTGTTTAGCAGAAAAAATAAACAGATGGATAAAAAAATGAAATAAAACATCATTCAATTGGAGGTACACTCAAACATAAAAGACTAGTTCTACATTCTATATAATACGCAGATATAAATCAATTTTTCTCCTGTGTTCTTTTTCTCGTCTATAAAATTCTCGTCTTGTCATTAAAAAATAACTGAGATACGATATGTTTCGATTGCTAAAAGAAAACTGTTAATATCCGTTAAAATTCAATATCGATAATATATTATCATTCATGTACATTTTTCTCCTCATCATCATATTATATTTCAAATGAAACATCTTGTTTAATTCATAAAGCATATTTTTTTTGTCAACATGTTTTTTATTTGTTAGGATTTTAAAAAAGCAAAGAAGGCACTCATTACTTTTACGAAATTAAGACAATAAATCGCTTTATGTTTGACAAAGATCAAAGTGACCAATTTTTTTTCATAATAATATTTTAGTTTTTTGCGATAATAGATCTGAAAAAAAAAGTTTGGCTTATAAATCTATTGTACGAAAATTTTAAAAATTATTTATGTGAAAGTTTTGAATTGAATGAGCTAGTAGTTAATATATTAGACGCAAGTCAATTTTGAAATCTTGAAGTGTTTATAAGATAGTGTATCAATAATAAGATCACAATTTATGCACATCTTCAATTGGTTTGATTGATGGGTCAGCATTTGGTCACGATATGGTTAGATGTTCTGACCTCATGATTGATACACACGCTATTGTTGATATATCTGATATTTTATCATCTTTATTAAGTACCATTTCATTCTTTTTTGTTTTGAATAAATAAAAATTAGATATTATTTTTCTTTTAAGCAATTATACCCATGAGTGAATATTCAATAATGAACCATACATTACATGTTCATAATAACCAATTGGAACATATGCCTATTGAAACTTCTGTTGAGGATGATATATTAATTTAAACACATGTTCAAAAATATTAAAACAAGTACTTTAATATAACCTTTTACCTTGGTAAGTTTTTTTTTATTTAAAATGATGCTATTTTTTTATACGTTTATAGAATATGTCATGATACTTTATTTACAATCTGTAGTATACCTGCATTAATTCTTTATTCATTTATATATAATACTATTTATCAACGTTGTCGAACACGTACAGAAAACTTTCTACTTACGAAAAAATTCTTCATTTTTATTTAACAACTGATCAAGAAGAATAAGAAGAAATTAATTAAAATTTATCATTCAATTATATTTGTTCTTATTGTTGTATTACAGCAGATAAAGAAATTTCCCTACCAGAAAAATAAAATGAAATATAATCATCATTTGAAAAACGTTATTCATTAATATCAGTGATATATTTAACATGTGGAGTTTGGGATGATACATTAACAACCAATTTAATACGTTCAAGAATTAAGTCAATAGCAGCTGTTGATTATTGAGGAATGAATAATTCATCAACAAGTCAACCATCACTATCAAATGAAGATTCATTTTATCAAAGAATTAACTCATTAACATTAAATAATACATTATCACAAACAAAATTTATTGAATCATTCTATTCAACTGCACTCGAAGGATGTGGATGAAGAGACGATAAACACCTACACCTTTTCGAGAAGGCAAGCCACATAATTAGTAGCAAGATGACTACGAGTCTTAGAGAGAGGACAACTGTCGCTCTTCAAACACACTCCTCAGACTAAAACACTGGTATAGAAGTCTTAAGTCTATGAAACATTACGTTAAAACTATTTATCTATCGATACGTCTAAAATGATTGTGCTATTAAAAGAAATTCCTGATTGAATGCTTTCTTATTGTAGAAAAAGAAATCAATGAAAATGACTTTTTTTCTACCTAAAAATTAATAAAGTTTGAAAAGAAAAAGTTGTTTTTCAAAACTGAAATATCCAGACTAAGATATATTTGATACATTTCAATCATAGTCATTGGCATTAGAAACGTTCACAAATTTGAAATATTCCCGAATTTAGCTTGATTAACTGTTTATTTTAATAAATGTGACTTTTGACATATATCTCTTGAAATTTTTTTGGTCTGCTAAAAATATTTACATTTTATTATTTATTAATATGTTTAGATTCAATATATGTCGGTTAACATGATACAACGTCCTCTATTTTAGTGTTATCTTCGTTTTTTTGCGTATTGGCTATGTTTTCTGTTTTCAACAAAGTAACAACACCCACACCCTTTCTTCTCAAAATTTTTATACCGGTACGAAGACTCTCTCTCAAGTAAACAGTAGTCTTTATAAAAAATCTTTCTTCTAACAAAACAATGCTTTATACTACAGTATTGCATTCAGTGCTCTATTTTAACGTAATAAATAAATGAATGTAATTTACTCATTAAGAACTTTTTATACAATGAATAAAAGATTTATTTTTCAATTCAATTAAATACAACAAGATGAAGTTAAGAAAGATATTTCAGAATGTAATATAGTTCATTTCGATCAATTTCAAATTGTACATTCCGATCCATTACAACGTCGTATGAATTGAAGTAGTAACTTCATTATTTATTGAATTTAATTCTTCCATATATGTTGCTGTTTCATTATTTTCCGGATTTGATTGTTCAGGATCTGATGCTACTTCACCGTACACAGATTTTTGTTCTTCAGAAGTAGATGTTGCTTTACTGTATTTCAGATTGGATTCTTCAGTAGTATAAGATGCTTCATTATATGCTGAATTCGATTCTTCAACGTTACGTGTTATTTCAGTACTTGTTATATTTAGTTGTTCCGAATTAGATGACGCTTCAATATTTGCTGGACTTGATTCTTCAGAATTAGGTGATGCTTCAGTAGTTACTACATTTAATTCTTCAACATTAGATGGTGCTAGAGTATTTGTTGAATTCGTTTCTTCAAGATCAGATGTTACTTCAATATTTTCTGGATTTGATTCTTCAGTAGTGGATGATGCTTCAATATTTTCTGGATTTGATTCTTCAGTCGTGGATGATGCTTCAACTTTTTCTGAATTTAGATCTTCAGGAGTAGATGATGTTTCATCATATGCCGGATTCAATTCTTTAGCTTTACGTGTTATTTCAGTAGTTGCTATATTTATTTCTTCAGTATTAGATGATGCTTCAGTATTTTTTGAATTTGTCTCTTTAACGTCAAGTGTTGCTTCAATATTTTCTGGAGTTGGTTCTTCAGAATTAGATGGTGATTCAGTAGTTGCTACATTTAGTCCTTCAGCAAGAGACGATGCTTCAGTACTTTCTGCGCCTGATTCTTCAACATTAGGTAGTGCTTCGGTATATTCCACATTTGATTCTTCAATTTTACGTGTTCTTTCAGTAATTGCTACATTTACTTCTTCAGCATTAGATGATGATGCTTCAGTATTCTTTGAATTTGTTTCTTCAATATGAGATGTTGCATCAATATTTTCTAGGCTTGATTCGTTAAGATTAGGTGTTGCTTCAATATTTGTTGGACTTGATTCTTCAACATTAGGTAATGCTTCAGTATATTCTAGATTTGATTTTTCAGTAGTAGATGATGCTTCATCATATGTTGGATTCAATTCTTTAGTATTAGATGGTGCATGAGTATTTTTTGAATTCGTTTCTTCAATATTAACTGTATTCGGTTCTTCAGTGTTAAGTGATGCTTCAATATTTTCTGGAGTTGGTTCTTCAGAATTAGATGATTTAGTAGTTGCTACATTTAGTTCTTCAGCAAGAGACGATGCTTCAGTACTTTCTGCGACTGATTCTTCAACATTAGGTAACGCTTCGGTATATTCCAGATTTGTTTCTTCAACTTTACGTGTTCTTTCAGTAATTGCTACATTTACTTCTTCAGCGTTAGATGATGATGCTTCAGTATTCTTTGAATTTGTTTCTTTAATATGAGATGTTGCATCAATATTTTCTAGGTTTGATTCGTTAAGATTAGGTGTTGCTTCAATATTTGTTGGACTTGATTCTTCAACATTAGGTAATGCTTCAGTATATTCTAGATTTGATTTTTCAGTAGTAGATGATGCTTCATCATATGCTGGATTCAATTCTTTAGTATTAGATGGTGCAGGAGTATTTTTTGAATTCGTTTCTTCAACATCGGATGTTGCTTCAATATTAACTGGATTCGGCTCTTCAGTGTTAAGTGATGCTTCAATATTTTCTGGACTTGATTCCTGAGAATTAGTAGTTGCTACATTTAGTTCTTCAGCAGTAGATGATGCTTCAACTTTTTCTGACTTTAGATCTTCAGGAGTAGATGATGCTTCATCATATGCTGAATTCGATTCTTCACCTATACGCGTTATTTCAGTAATAGCTTCATTTGTTTCTTCAGTATTAGACGGTGCTTTAGTATGTTTTGAATTCGTTTCTTCAACATCAGATGTTGCTTCAATATTTTCTAGGCTCGATTCTTTAAGATTAGTTGTTGCTTCAATACTTGCTGGACTTGGTTCTTCAGAATTAGGTAATGCTTCAACTTTTGCTGGATGTAGAACTTCACCATTAGATGATGTTTCATCATATGCTAGATTCGGTTCTTCAGCTTTAAGTTTTGCTTGAGTAGTTGCTGCATTGATTTCTTCAACATTAGATGGTGGTTCAGTATTTGCTAGATTGGGATCTTCAGTACTATGTGATACTTCAGCATCTTGTTTGATTTCTGAAGGAGTCGTTTCATGTGGTCGATCAAGTTCTTCAATTATATGGCTTTCCTTGAAATCATTAGATATAGTCGTTGAACGTTTTGTTGTCAACATAAGTGGTAAAATTTTCTTTTGTGTTAGAGGAAAGTTTTGAATCTGAGTGGTTTTCACTGTTGTGACTGTTAAAAAGAAAATGCAAAGATGAATATACATCCAATAAATAAAAATAATCTTACAATCATCAATATGTTTATCACATAATGGACCAAACCAGTTGTTTGAACAAATACATGTAAATTTTCGATATATATTTAAGGTTGTTCTATACCATTCAATGCATTTACCATGTGCACCACATGGATTAATTGGTTTACATGAAGATAAGAGTGAAGGAGCAGTCGAGCTTGATTGTGTTCTCGAAGTGAATCGACTTATTTTCAAAGTTGATATGACTAAAGAGATAAGTACAACATTTTTCTATCTTGAAAATATTTTTTTTCATACATCGTGGAAATGAACGAATTACAGCAAATTTCCAATTGCATGTCATATGAATTCTGTCCCATATAAGTTTACCACAAGAACGTAAATAAGCATTGCCAAATTCATCACATTGATAGTATTTATGAATGTCTGTACGATGTGGATAAAAGAATGTATAAGAATGTAATTCACATGGATTATATCGAACATCATCGTTAAAAAACACTGTTCATGAAAATAATTGATTTAATTTTCTTTTAAAATTTTTATTGAATTAACTTACTTGGGAATCCATCGATGGAAATAATCAACAAAAGACAAGTGATACTTATTGAGAGAAACATGGATCGAATCATAGACACAAAGGTATATTTCAATATGAATGAATGTTAATCGATGGTTTATATATAAGCATTGTAAAAGAAATAACAAAGCTCATCCAGATTATACCTTTCTCATTGTTACGGTTCATTTTTTCTTTCCTTTGTTATATAGGTATATACGTATATACGTGTACCCTAATGTATTACGCATGAACGAACTTCATTTCATAAGGAATGAAAAAAAAACCTATTGAACGACATATATGATATGGTTAAATACATGAAGAAAGAGAAAGATCGATTAATGACGACATAAAAACGAACGAAGATGAAGGATAAAACTGAATAATGAATATGTATACATTCTAAGGTGTGGGTCTGTATTTAGTTCTTCTTTTAACCCACGCCCACACCCCAATGGTACTAACTATTTGAATCTTTTTCATCAGTTGAGAAGGAATCGAAGTATTGTATATTTAAGAATAATTCAAGTGATAATGAGTGTATATGTTTATCATTGAATCAAAGAATCAAATCGAATTTGATTGAGTAAAAAATGTTTTTCAATGAAAATCTTTACTTAAAATCTTGTGATAGTTTCATTGAAGTGTCGTTCACGATTTCATTTTTTTGATGGCGAGTTCTCCCTGAAGAAGTTATATGAACGAGAAAATAAATTATATTTGCTGCTTGGGTTAGTCGAGAACATATTGTCATCTTGATCCTTCAATGAATTAGTTTCAGATAATGCTTATGATCATGATTAATCATATCGATTTGATCAAAAAAAAAATGGAGTATCTATGATAAGTCAAAGAGTAAGATCAAATAAAAAACAAAGCATTTAACGAATAAAACGATGAACAAGTAGTGGTACGTGTTTATTCTCATCTATAAAATAATATGAGAATGAAAAACACTTAATCTAATGGCATAGTTTGTAATCTTTTATGAATACTTTCGATCATTTTTTCTCATCTTGCAATTGTTCTTCTGCTGCTGCATACAAATTTGATGCAGAATTCAAATTTAACCTAGCTAAAGTATAATCCTTCATTTCGAGATAAATATCAGCTAATTGAACATAACTATTGACTATTTCTCTTATATTATATAGGATTTCATATTGTCCTTTTATCACTTTTTTCAGTTCATATTTTTCCAAGACAAATTTCTGTGTTTTCAGTTGATATTCAATTTCATGTGAATATTTCTTCAAGTTTTTCAAATAAATTACGGCTATTCTTTCATGAAGACTAAGAAGCCAAGATAAATCTCGTTCAATTTGTTGTAAACATATGTGAATCGCTTTTTCATAGGCTGTTATAGAGTTTTCATAATCATGAGCGGATTCATAGAGTCGACCTAGATGTTCAACGCACATTAGCTTATCGTAGTCGTTATAAGTACTGTCGTTTACCATTTTATTGACAACTTCTTCTTTATATTTTATCGCTTGTAATATGTTTTTGTTTAACTTGTCACTGCCATCAGTCTTCGATAACGCTTCATATATTTCACTTAATCTATTAAGAGAGTCAACGCAATCACAGTTATCTACAGTTGAATTAACCAGAACTACTTCACTGTACTTTATCGACTGATTGCAACTTTCTATAGCAAGTTAATGACAGCAATCTCCGAGTTGGTTATAAAGTTCAGCTATTGTATGGATTGCATCAATGTCAGTGTCATCAAATTGTTTCCATAAATCAATTGCTTCTTTATAACTGTGTATGGCTGACGTATAATCTTCCAATATCCATTCTTGATGACAGCGTATGATATCAAGTTTAACAGCTGATAACCATACGTGCTCGCTGGGAAACAAGTCATTTAGTTTAGTAAAAATGATATTTATGTCCTTTGGTGAAGTTTTGTAGTATAAATATCTTCTTAATCGAATGACGTGATTTTTGAAATTTCGATTTTTATTTTCATACTGAAATTCTATTGATGAATTGTATCTTAACTGCATTTGAATTGTCCAAAATGTCTTGTATGTCACGTCAAGTATTTCGAATTGAGTTCCAGGCATAAATAATACTTCTTCGTCATCCGGTATAGAACTCAGATCTGCAATGTATGCATATGGTCGTGATAACAGACGTGGATCATAACTGATCTCAAATAGTACTTCTTGTGAGTCATATAGATTAGAATATATTTCTGAGACTGATTGGTTGTTAGACGTCAAGAGTAAACTATTGTTAATCACATACGTTGTGTAACGTGAACACAGACCATCGATTTTTTTTAAACCTATCATTTAACTCTTTACAGATATCTTGTAAAAAAATTCCAAATAAAAATATTAATTCAGTATTTTGATGACGAAAGGCTTGGTTCATGATAGAATATAAAAATGAAGGACGAGTATACCATTATATAGCATTCTTTGATTGATAATCAACTTCAAATGCATTCAATTGACGTAAAAGTTTTTCATTACTACTAATCGTTTAAAATAACCTTCTGGATATGGAAAATGGCATATAAAATCAACATCCGCCATCCACCAAGACCCGAAATCATCTGTGGTATTCTCGACTTTATCTATGGGATCGAAAATCTGACGAATTATGAAAGGTTCAGCAGCAGAATATAAATCCTTGATTAGATGCTGAGTATTTCTGTAGACATGTATTATCTAGAAACAAGATATTCTTACACTATTTATTAACTTAGATAATAATCGAATATAGAATTCGAACTTACTTTTGGATATTTAGCATGTAGTGCTTGAAAAAAGATTTTTCATCTTCACAATTAGTAGCATAAATGTACACTAAGTGAATGCGACTGAAATGGTGAACTTGCGAGAGCAATAATTCAACAGATGTAGCTGAACAGATTAGTAGTGTTGTTATAGTATTTTTTTCAATATATTGACTACATTCTACGGACGAAACAAAGTCATGTATGTAATCAAATGTTTTTCTTAGCTTTTGACGAAAATCGATGATCGTTGATTGTTCCTTGTTATTATCAACTAACCAGACTAATTGAAGAAATTCAAGTTTCAGTTGTAAATGGGTGAAGAGTAAGTCTGTCTGTTGAAATTGCTCTGTAACTTGTTTAATGTCAGAAGCCATTCAAGGTGAAATACTCAGTAGTCTTCTTTTTTTTTCTTTAGTCTAATGAAGATTTTTTTAACAGAAGAAACACTGAAAGTACTTTTGTTTTATTTCTCTTTTTTTTCTACAAATGTTGATTTGTGCTGGAGAGAGCAGAGAAGAAAAATGTGTTTCCATTTCTATTGGTTTCCGCGACTTTTTTTTCTCTGAACGCGTTAAAAAAACACTTTAATACAATACAGAATGAACAAACAGAAAAATCGATGATGATCTGTGTAAAATGGTGTATGAGAACAGTTTCCCACGTTTTAGAATATTCCTTCTGTTTTACAAGAAACTTTTAGTCGAATGTTTTGCAAGATCTATTAAAGTATCCAGACCTTCTATTCTGATAGAAAAAATATTTTCCTTACCTTGCCTATATTTCTCCTATTAAGTATCGTATGTTGCAGTTTTTAACACATCTTCTGCTGAACAAATGTTTCTTTGATGTGAACTGAAAAGCAGAAGAAAAAAGTAAAATAACATGCGGCACTTGTTGATGTGCTTTTTATATGATTGTGGCGAATGAAAGTATCAACATCGACATACAAGCTGCACGAACAGACCAACTAATCAATTGATTTAAATTATTGAACGTTCAGCTTATACTCGCTAATGTTGAGTACATTAAACTTTTACTAGTCTTTCTAGTTTCCTCCATAGGCGGTGGAACGTTTCTAATTTAGGGGAGGCTCAACATTTTAAAATAACGATAGAAAGATGGTAGTAAGAGATAGCGAACTTCAAATTTCGTCGTCACAACTTTCATCAAAAAAAATTTTCTGCATCCATCCATTCGCATACCCGCGCATTGAAAAAAATGGTACAATACTGAACCATTTGAGGGTTTCATGATTGCTATGAAACCTAAAACAGTATTTGAGAAGCCTAGAAAGATTCTGGCTTTTGAAACAAATCCTATACCGTTTTAGGTTTCGTACACAAAATTACGAAAGCTTTGAAAATGCTTTTCCGACCACTCATAATTATTTTAAGGGTATCTTAGGTTTTTTACGGAACCTTTTTTGGATTTAGATTTTTGAAAAAAAATGGTTCGATCTGACTCCTTATTGTTTTGCAGTGCATGAACCTATCGGTAGGATATTTAATCTAGTTGAAAAATCATGCTGCGAAGCCAGGGTGTGGGTGTTCGTTTTTAATTCATTCACACTCACACCCACATCCAAAACTTCATAGCATCTTAAGAACGATATTTTAGTAAAATAACAGAAACTTCCTACATCTAAAATCATTTTCTGAAAAAAAACATACATTGTTCCGACAGAAGAGATAAGATTCTCAATAATTTCTCAGATCTAAACAAGAATTGACATTATCGATCTCTAAATTTTATTCTTTAAAATTTTTCAAAAATAGATAAATTGTATTATTTTTACACTAGCAGTTATTGTTAGAATAGTGATTATGAATCATTTTTCTATTATCTACTGGAACAAAATGAATTCAATCTTATTTCATCTTTTGGTAATTATGGAAAAGATAACAAAAGCTACATCAATATGTTTCATAAAATTTTTATTTATCTTGATGTAAGAAAAAAAACAGGATACGAATAAAATTCTTCGAAAATTGATGATTCGTATCATTGTGGTAAAAGAAGAATGCCATACATCAATTTTTCGTCTGCATTATAATTATTTTTTCAACGAAAAAAATCATTTTACACTTTCATATATCACAATAACATATAATAATCATCATTTTTCCAAGACAAAAAGAACTTATTGACGTTTTTGGATGGCTTTATTCCATGCATTTTTGATTTGTTCTAATGAAAATGAATCGGTTAACCAATACAACTAAACTTCTTCATATGATCAATAATATAAAATCGGATTGGCTATGGACTATAACCTTCACTAAATGGATTATTTTTTGATATGGATCAATTAATAGTGGAATTCGATCGTTATCATGTTTTGGTTGAACATCATATATTCGACTACCAATTGGCCTATTTTATTCAATATAAAAATGAATCCGAAAAGAAATCATTTTCTCTCATTAACTTTCCATTCATCGACTGCATGAGCTTCTTCAATATAGGCAGTAATCATATAAACACGATCTTGATAAAAATCCATTAGTTGATTAAGTTGTGGTACAAAATCACGAAATGGTGGTCAAGTGTATGAACCAACAATAATTAATAATGGACGATTTAAATGAAAATAAGATAATATTGAAACGAATTCACCATTCATATTTAATAATTGAATATTAACTATTGAATCACCAATACGAAGATTTCCTAGTTTTGCACGATTATGTCGAACACAAAGAGATAAATCATGAAATTCATTATCATTTGAATATAATTGTTGAGCAGTACAGCATATTCTAGAACATAAATAAAATATTCACATATAAAGTTAGATTATCTATTAAATCCGCTCGATCATTATTTTTAATCAAAAATGATATGAGATTTCAGAATATAGAAACAAATTATTCATTGATTTCAACTTTCAAGGGTTGAAGTAGATACATAGCTGTTCACTATTGAAGTCTAGTGAGAGTTAGAAAATCTTTATCTTCGATTTCAGATAACTAACAATACTTGTTTAAAAATAAAATGTTTCGCTTTTTTTCAATATAAAAATCGGTCATTCCATTCTGTGAAATGATGAACAGAAGAACAATACTAATGTCAGATGAAACCACCTATGAGTTTAGCTTAAGACAAACTAGATCGTCTTAAAAGCAAATCAGAAAGATTATAATACGTATCCCATCATAGTTATAGCAACAAACTTTATTTAGGGTGTGGATGTGGGTGTTGGTGGATTAAAGATGGTCTTGTCATCATACCCACATCCCGCATCCACACCCATCCCACACACACCTCACCCACACCCACACCCCAAAATAATCAATCAATATCGATAGTGATATCAATAATTTGCTCAATAGTATTTTGGATGGAATTCGATCTGAAGTTGTTAGTTCAGCTGAACAAACTTATGAACTTATTCCGGACGGTAAAGATATTCCAATCATGGGTTCTAGTTTTAAAACTACTGTAGAAGTTATCGAAATTATTGTCTACATGAATTTCATCGACAAGATTTATAGTGTCGTTCCAGGTTATTTCTTAAGTTTATTTACAGCTAGGGAACTCGAAGAAGTCGTATGTGGACAGGCTAAAATAGATATAGAATTATTAAAACAGCATACAATCTATGGTAGTCGTTATAATTCAGATTCACTATGTATTCAACAATTTTGGACAGTTCTTGCTGAGATCTTCGATGAAGAACAACAGAAACTGTTTTTAAATTTTTTTGGAGACAATGTGCATTACCAAGTTGTCATGATGGTTTTAAATCAGAATTTCGCACCGATCCATATGATGCCTCAAATGGATTGGTAGATGAGATACTTCCATGTAAATAGAATCCTGATATCCATAATTTCTATGATATGACGGTATTTTGGGAAAGAGTAACTTTACAATTATCTACTTAGAATAAGAAAAGCTATAGAAGAGGATGGAAAAAACGTATTGCAGTCAGATGATCGAAAAATCATCAGACACTCTTGAATCATCCATAAATCTTGATTGTTCTTAAATTACTTTGTACAATAAGCTTCTTTTTATCTTGTTTTTGTTGTAGAATTTCATACATGTAGTTTCGTTCTTGAGCTACCTGAATATTCATTGACTGATATCATGTATAATCGCTTGAACTATGCTATTACTTATTATACAAGCACTGACGGAGACAGCAGCATGAATGAAGCTCCTACTCCAAATGATTTGGATTTTGATTGAATTGAAGATGATTAACAATAATATTCATTCTGACAGTATTTCCTGTATCTCCCAAAACGCTATATCTTATTTACTTGATATATTGATTGTTTGTTTTGTTTTGATGGATCACTCTACATTTTTCTTAAATCTGATTATTAAAAAAAGGAACTTTTTAAAAAAAATTTATGATGAAGAGATATCAGCCTGACCTTCATATTCGTATATTGACGAGCTGCACTTGCGATACTCTCTTGTCTTTTAGCATCATCTTAGTGTTCCTGATAGTCCTCAACGAATATTTCGTTTTCCTCTTCGTACGAATATGGATGTTCATATTTGTAAGAATTCTATGCTCACAAGCTGCACATCTGCATCAACATCCGCATCCATACTCTACTATTCAGAAGAATACATAAAAATATGACTTCGATTATCGAAGCCATGTCGAGCAGCATTGATGATGCTGATCGGTGGTCAATTAAGTTTGTCTTATCTGTCGTCTTGTCGGATCGAATCTTTCCAGTAAAAAAAGTAGCCTGACAGAAGTTCATTTCTTAAAACCGTTCGATTCCTCATGAACAACTATCTGTGAGAATTGGCTTTTTCATTGAAAATTCAAGTTCTATCTAGACAACACAGTGAGTTATGTGCCAATTTCATTTTTTTTCTGACGATGATTAGCTTCTCAGTCTCTCTAGGTGCCTGGGTTTGAATGAACCAATTCTTTTTATTTTTATTTTTTCAAGGCACATCAGTAAATGAAGGCAATATGAGTCATTTTGTTCTGCACTTGTTAGTAAGCATTCTATTACGGTCTTCTCAATATTTTCAAAGTCTGAAGTTGACAGGGAAAATATTGGATGTAGGAAAAAAAAATTTATTTCTCTAGAATGTGAACATGCAAAATCAAACGTCTATTTCACCTTTTAAATAGGTAACTGCTTTGCCCGACATGAGCACCCTATCACCTTGATTTTCGCACCAAAGTTCTCCTTTACGTGCCGAAATCTGGTAAGCATGCAGCTGATTTTTACCCAACCGTTCACCCCAATAAGGGATTAGACTGCAATGTGCTGAACCAGTAACAGGATCTTCAGGAACGCCGGCACTGGGCGCAAAAAACCTCGAAACAAAATCAACTTCATCACCAGGAGCAGTAGCAATCACACCAAAAACGCTATCAATTTTAACTAACGCCATAAAATCCGGCGACAATTGTTTAACATCAGCCTCTTTTTCATAAACGAGCATATGATCTCTCGCTTTATAAACTTCGATGGGAGTTACATTGCTGCATAGCGCTGACAACAATCCATCAGGTAAATCGACTTTTGCTGCTGGTCGGGCTGGAAAATCAAGGGTATATAAAGCATCCTCCTTTTGGCGGATTACTCTCAGTTCACCAGCTTTCTTGGTCAGAAAGTTGATTTCTGCATTCATTGAAGACATTTCAGTGAAAATGATATGTGCAGCCGCTAATGTCGCATGGCCGCAAAGATCCATTTCCAGTTCGGGTGTAAACCACCGAAGTTCATATCCGTCGTTATTGGAATTTGGCACGAAAAAAGCTGTTTCTGCGAGATTGTTTTCAGCAGCAATTTGTTGCATCAATGAATCTGGTAACCACTTGTCTAATGGGCATACCGCCGCCGGGTTGCCACCAAATAACTTATCGGTAAAGGCATCGACCTGATATATTTTAATTTTCATAACTGTAATTAATTATGCTATTTTTCAATATTATTTACTACAATTGTATTGCACCAGCTCCACTTTCTTATCAATAAACAACAAATCTAAGAATTAGGAAAAACTCTGTTGACCTATACCCAACATCGACAACCTAAATCGTGTCAAAGTTAAAACATGGCTTTCTCCTTGGTCAATTGCAAAACTGTTTACTATTTCCTACTCAATATATTTCAGCGTCGATTATTGTTGTCTAACAGTTTGCTTCAAAATATCTTACGAATTGATTAGTTCATAAGGTCTTTTTTCATTACTTCTAATGTTCACTCGGAGTCGAAGAAATCTTTATAAAAGCAAAATTGCCAGAGCACAACAAGTTTTTACCTTATTGCAAGTTTGTAAACAGATACTTTTTTCAAAGTTATTCTTAAACTTACTTGATTCAAGCAACAGATATGGGCGTATGGTGTGAGCTTGTATAAAAAGAAAGAAAAAAAGAAAAGCCCAAATGCATGATGTGATAACGTATATCGTATCACAGATGCACATTATCAACAAAGGAACTTATAGAAATTGATAACGTTTCTCATTTCTTTGTCGCTCAAGGTTGTTCTTCATTTCATATAACCTACATATTTACTTAGATATGTGAACAGTTGGTATTCTCTCTCATACTTTCTTATAAGTGAAAAAAAGATGACGAATGCTGATGTGAGATCGAATGAAGAGAGCATGCACACTTCAACGGGCCATTCGATAAGCATTTTGACATGTCGATTTCAGCTGCTAGGGTGTGGGTGGTGTGGGCGTGGAGGGGGGTATGGTGGGTGTGGGTCTGGGGTCTGAGTGGGTGTACGTATCTAACCAATGGTACACCCACACCCACACTTACACCCACATCCACACCTACCCCCATACCCACACCTACACCCCACACCCCACACCCTATATATTTCCTTTGGTCTGATGGTTGTATTCTAAACAAGCTGCATGGTTTGTGCTGACTATCCACTGCTTAGAATCGATGATTAAGAAAACAAAACTCCAACACTCCCTAAAATACAAGTTGGATCTTTCGCTGGAGCCTAACAATTTTAGAAGTACTCTGAAAATCATTTAGCACAATTGTTCAAAGGGTGATTGCAACCGTATCAAAAAGTGTGAGAATAGAAATTATAGAAAACATTTTGATGAATGAGGAAAAAAGATTCTTCAGCGCCGATTTCGATCAGAAAATTTCATACTATGTTGAGAATACGTTGATTGGATGAAAAATCGATGGTTTCTAAGTTAGGTTAGTTTCTGCATTCAAGAATGTTTTGGTTGTGCTTGATCTACAGGGACCAAAAATCAATATCTGGCGTTGAAGCGCTTAAACAGTATCAGTAATAAATTTTGGCGGTAAAACTCACTCACGCGATCGCATTAACCAGTTGCCAGTAAGAAAATCGGTTTCCCCTGTTGCAAAAGATTGCCAAAGTGGCAAAACACGTTTAAACGGCAATAAAAGGTACTTCTTGTCTACTACAACTGTTTTAACGGGTGTTTTTCTGTTCGACAACTGACTGGACAGTTTTCTCTGTTCTGTCGCTAGGTAAGATTGAAAATAACATACGAGGATAATCCTCTAGCAAGACATGAAAGATTCAGAGATAATTAAGTCGTCTTCATCAACAAATTTTATTACTTCACAAGGAAAATTTATTGCACGAAACTCTTTGGACTTCGTCTGCTTAGAGTTTGATACAATTTTCAAATGTCGTGCTAGTTAATCGATATGGTTTTCGAGTAGCATCATCATGATTCATTAACTTGATATGGACTTAGATACGTATCATAAACACGTGTCTAGGTAGTCATTTTCGATTGTGCAATAAAGTTTTTGGAGGTTGTCAGTGTCGCATACCAATGTTGAATATATTCCAGTGCTGTGCGATGTCTTTCCTCACTTCGGCAGCCGAGACAATCGACCCAAACAAAAATCTTATGACCATGAAAGAAGGCATCTGTAACCGTCGCTTGAACACAACGATTGGTCAGAAGACCACATACATGAACTTCTTGCACTTCCTTCAACACATCGGCCAGGGTTGTATCTGTGAATGCCGAATAATAAGTTTTGCAAATAACTTGATCTTGTTCCTCGTTCAATATTGAACAAACATCATCAGCGAAGTTTGCTCCATCTGTGCCAGGCATACACAACGGAAAGGCATGGTGTGTGTCAGATAGGATAGCATTATTCATTGGCACACCCTCAAATTGTTGGCCCTCTGGGCGAATAAGGTGTTTCGGTTCAGATTTAAGCTTCGAAAAGTCCGATTTTATCCATATAACAGTACCATTCTGTTCGCGAAATGAAGGTAGAGCAGTTCGTAAGTTGGATATAATATGGTCGGCTTTGACGTGCGTTTCTTTGAATGGGCCTTCTGGAGAAATGAAATCTTGTTGAAGATCAATTATCAATAATGCTTTCCTAGTTTGCATCACTTTCATATAAACGGTCGAATCTGAAATTCTTTTATCTAGAATCATTCAAAGTGATGACCAACAGCTCACAATATATGTGACGGCACTTCTACAAAATACGCACCGCCTCACCCACACTATTAGAATCAGATACATATTTTTGTGGCAAACGTTGATGTGGTGAAGGCGGTGCATATTCTTTAGAAATACCGTCCATCGGTAGGCGCTAAGGGCGTTTCTACACTAGAGAAATAAAACCACTTTATCTCTGTTTTAAAGCATTACCTGTCTACACACAGCGACTTAATTTGTCAATCGAGACGAGGCATGTGCCTGTATGCTGTCGCTGAAAGGCGTAGCAGAGACGAATGATGTCGCTATTATACTTTTCTATTTCTTAATTCTTCTAGATCAATCTGTATGGTGCGTTTGAAAAAACCAAATACATCGTTTAAATAAGATTCTTCACACTTGAGTATCACCCATGTAAAACAATTTTCTCAAAAATCACCAAATAATCGATTATTAATCGATTTTAGAGTGTGAGCGGATGTGTGGGTGTGAGTCTTCTTCACCCACACCCACACCCTCTTTCTCTTTTTCTTCTTGTGCTTTTCTTCAACTTCGTCTGATTCGAATGAAACTGTTGAGGATGTTGAACTACTAGATGAAGATTTTCTTTCATGAACTTCTTCAGTAACTGTTTTTGGTTGTGAAACCATTGGTTGTGGTGGTGATGGTGAACGTGAAGACGATGATTGTGATGATGATGATGATGATGATGATGATGCACGTGACGACGGTGAACGTCGTAATGATGAATGTGGTACGGTAATTGGATCTTCCAGTATTTCAGTAGTTTTAATATCATCTGATAGATGTTTTCTTGTAGCTGGAACTGAAGGTGTTTGATCTTCTTCTGAGCGTCTTTCACCACTGGCAACACCATCATCAAAAAATGAATCTCTATTACTACCCATTGTGTTCAATATAATAAGACCATATGTTACTTTTACTCTTCTTATTCTTCTCGACAAACGATATGCATTGTATTGTTAAAGACAAAATTTATAACGACAACTATTCTTTTTCTTCTTCCTCATGACAGAGAATAGGTAAGACGACGAACAAAGAGAAAAAGAAATTGTTGAGAAGAGCAAACAACATCAAAAATCGTCATGTGCGATAGAGAAAAGACACGAAAGAAAAAGAGAAAGAAAGAAATACACTCAGAGTTCTTGATGAAGTATAAAAACATACAAGATGAAAAAATATGTTCGTTACTTAAAGTTTTAAGAACGATTTACTTTTTCGGTTACACTTCATATTCCTTTTTTCTTTTGATATTTTAAATCGAACTTTCAACATTCAACTTTTCTTGTGATAATTGTTCATCTCTATTTATTTTACACTTATCGATTACAAATAAATATTTACCATTTAGAATCAAAAGTTTATTTAGTAGCTCCGAAAATGATTTGAACAGGTTTATTTTCAATGTTTTTCTACTATAGTGTTGAGTGCCATCTCAAACAAGAATTTTGTAAGCTGGAAGAGATCGCTAGTTCTCTAAAGATAGAGTCTTTGAAAAACCGAAGCCCAACTTTTTTCTGAGCTACTTCGAATAATAGAGTAAACAATACTCTTCAAAATAGAGTGTCTTCCAGCTTTTTGAGAAATTTTTTAGACGAGATGCATCAATTTTATGAACGGCACGAAAATGGTATTTCTAGATGAGATAGCAAAAAACGTCGTAGAGATCGGAAAGCGTTTTAGTTTGTAGAAAACGGTTTGATCTATGATTCTGAATGATTCAAATGGATTTTCGGGTGAGGAAAACCTTGAGTTTTGGCTTTTTCAAAGATGTTGTTCTTGCTAAACTAGGGATGCCTTTCATCTTAGAAAATTCTTGTTGGAAATAAAACTACAAAAAGCACTGTGTGAATTCTTATCAGTATAGACAGTGGTGGAAAAAATTGAGAAGAAGTCTCATTGAAGAATTTTGAGAACTACTGTATGTGAAATATTCAAGATATTTATGACTTTGAAGTCGATCTTGTATTTAGTTTAGCGCTGAATTTTTGTCATGTTTCTGATGATTAAAATCTAGTATAACAATACTTTCATTATTATTGACTGAATAAAAAACCATTTTTTTATACTCAAAATAAGATATTTTGTATAACTAACATTTTCTCTTATTATGAGCCGCTATTTATTTTACTTACTGTAATATTTCAATGAGAAGAGTTGACTGGATAAATGTACCTTTTTGGTGTAGGTGTGGATGGGTGTGGGTCTTCTTTTACTGCAGACTCACATCCACACCCACCCACACCCCACACCCACTCACACCCCACACCTACACACACCCACACCCGCCCCAAATCCTAGCTTTCTATGATATACCTTGATATATATCAAATTTTAATGAAATTAGATGTAATACGAGGAAAAAGTCCCGAGGCAATGATTCATTTATAGACTTGGTCTAGTCTCGATAGGTTCTATCTAATAACGACAGTCTCATCTTAAAACGTTCTATTACTTGAAAAGGTTTCCTCATGATTTAGGACAATCAGTGCACCGCGCTTCAAAATCGAAATTGTGTGTAGTTGGAATCAAGATTTTTCAATAGTTATAATCAATTCACGAATCATATTTTAAGATTTTAATCACAACTATAAAAAACGACGCACGATTAAAATCGAATTGAAATTGATCAAGTTACGATGTTTTCATCGATTAAAATTGGTTTTTAATCAATTTTAATCAAAATTAACAATCCGTTTGCTCTGCAACAAAATCAAAATTAAAATCGATTATAATCAGAAATTTTCAATCGGTTATAATCAGATGGCGATTGATTATAATTGCGATTCCAGTTTTCTGATTATAATCGATTTTAATTTTGATTTTGTTGCAGAATAATTGGATTGATAATTTTCATCAATTTTAATCACTAAAATGTTTCACTAGGTGTTTTACTCGTTGCTTACAGATTTTCACCAATTCGGACAAGTTTTATTGATGACCTACGAATATGTTTGGTTCTCGTTTACTGACTCGTGCCCACAGACCGTATTTGGGCCGCATTGTGATGCGAAGCTCCGGCTCTACTCGTTGTCCCGGCTTCAATTCGAAATGGCATCGTTTCAGCAGCATAGCCAAAATAACTTTTGCTTCCAGCAAGGCGAAATTCTGTCCGATACAGTTGCGCGGTCCGGCAGCGAATGGCAAATAACAGAACGGATGAGCCAATTTCGCTTTTTGACCAGTGACAGGATCGCGCATCCAACGTGTGTAATCGAACTCGAGTGCTCGCGGCCAAAATTCTTCTTGGCGGTGAAGCACATACGTATTGATAACGACGGTCGTGTTCACAGGGATACGCAATTGACGACGACCTTCATTGCCGATGGTGTGTTCACGAATGCATTGTCGTGCAAAGACAGGCGCCGGGGGGTAGAGACGAAGCGTTTCTTGCAAGACAGCCTCGCACACAGCCAAGTTGCTGATGTGCTCATAGGTCGGATCCATGTTGTCGGGAAGAACTCGATCGACTTCATCGCGACACGCACACAACACCTGCTCGTTGGTCATCAGCACGTAGAGAGCCCAGGTTAGGAGATTTCCGGTTGTCTCGTGACCGGCGAGCACGAAAGCCAAAGCTTCGTCCTTAATTTCTTCGTCGCTGAATGGTTGACCGTGTGAGTCGACTGCAGCGAGAAGTAGATCAAGAAGATCAGGTCCCGAGCATAAACTTTTCGAACGACCTTCTCGTCGATCAGAAATAATCTGGTTAACGAAATGAGCCATTTCTCGAGAACCTTTGTCGATGATGTTCTTGCGCCAGAATGGTAATTCGGCCAGCAAAGGAATGAGGTTGATCATGCGCATCGTCCGATATTCGACTGCTTCGAGAGTCAAAGTGAACGCTCGACCGGCGATGTCTTTAGCGTTAGCGATCGTTTCGAAACCTTTTCCAAAGGCGCACGATGCAATAACTGTCAGTGTCAGAGCACTGAATTCTGTCTGTAAATCGACAGATCGTTGATCGACCGAGGCAAAAAGTTCGTTGATCATCTTTCTTGTCTGATCGATCATGATCGAGACCATCGATTGAAGATTGACAAAATGAAAAGCTGGATTGAGCATCTTCCGTGATCTTTCATGTTCTTCCCCTTCACTCACCAGAAGATTGTGTGCGCCAATGATTGGTTTGAAGACCGTACTATTCAACGCCGTTTTCTCATAGTTCTGAGCGTTTGATCGGCTAAGAACATCGGCAATCAGATCAGGCTCGAGCATGACAAGGCGTGTCAATGGGCCAAAACCCATGAGATAGACATGACCATGTTTTTCAGCGAGCTTCCCGTAATAAGCCATGTACTGACCGCTGGCTCGAGCGCGATTGATTTCAAACAGTTGACCGATGAAGGGCACAAATCGTTCACCGGGGACGCATTGACGACGAAATTCATCGTAGAGGCGTTTTTCAGGTCGCACTAATTTCCAGTAGACAATCAAAGCTATTGCCAACACGATACTCGCAAATGTCGATAAAAACAGCAGTGTAATCATTCTGGGTCCTTGTACGCGGAGAGATAGTATTACAACGTGTATCGACCGTTTGTAAAGAGACAAAAGGAATGAAGGTGTACACTAAGATATTCGTTCTATTTCTATCAAGGAGCCATTTTGGGGGTCGTAAAGAGAAAAGTGTCAGCTTGTATTCATATCTTTGAGAGCAAAATTCGGTGTAAAGCGCACACTCATCTTTGTTATCATGTAATCAGAGCTGCATGTATAATCATAAACGAATCAAAAGGGCCACTTGAGCAAATACATTGTCACGAACGAATCAGTCTCTTTCGATGAGCCGCACATCGTACGAGAGAGAATAGAAAGATTTCTAGTGCGATCGAATGTTTGCGCCAATCATTCATTAATTATCATCAGTTTGAGTTACATTGGAACGCTTTATCTCACTGGCCTACCCGATATACAGATTTCAAGTACTTGATTACTTCTTCAAGCTTTACCAAGTGCTTGGACAAATACTTGGCACCTGCAATGTAGAAAGTATATGGGGCACTAAAAAAGTTTTGTCGTCCGTCCTTTACGAAAATATTTCAAGCCAGATTCTAATTTTGTTTTTTACAGTATCGCCCTGTTACGCAATGCACAGATCCATTTATTTATACAACGTCACTATACTGGGTTTTAAGAGCGTCTTCTGTAAGATGGATAATGGCTCGTTTTAAGATATGTAAGGTTGTGTTGTCATGGTTGAATCATATTTTGTGTACTTCATAATCTGGTTGTGAAAAGAGAAATAGTTAGAGAAGATGAGATCTATACAACGTAATAAATTTTGACATGCTTCTACATTATCATGTTCAGTCAAGTATTCGCCGATATCCCAGTCTTTTCATGATCTGACACTTTCATATGAAGAATTTATGATTGAAAGAGAGGTCTTTTATTTCTCTTCCAACTCAGTTTGGAAACTTGCACTGGACAGCTATAGAGAAGCGAACCTCAGAACACTAAATCATAGTGACATGGATTTGATTGAATCAGATTAAATGATGAAAATTTTATATGATTTGTTTGTGACCTCGTGCTAGTCTATTAAGAAAGCTTGTTAGTGCAGCCCCTTTGTGGCTGAAATGTAAAGCACACATATGCTTCCTAACCTCATTAAACTAATACAAAATACGTAAAAATGAAAAATCTCTTGTATGCTGGTGTTCGGCAGAATAATCGATGACTAGACTAAGCACCTCTGTAAATTTTGCATTTCGAACAGATTTTTTCATTACTTTTCAAGATTATCAGCTGATTAATTTGAAAAAAACTTAAGAAATCTGCTGCCTGTTTTCTTCAGTTGTTAAAGTTTGGAATGCGGGGTTGTATGTAATGGGAAGCTGTCTGTAATGAGAGGAGAGCTACAAAACTTCGACTTAAAACGTAC